GGAAAACTCCCCCCTTGTGCAGGATCCCTGCTCCAGCAGAGCCACAGCTGGCACTGCAGGAGGGCTGAGCCCCCATGGGATGGGGCTGTGCCACCCCCTGACACACAGGGGACAGGGCATGGTCTGGTTCTGGCACTGCTGCTTTGTATTACGTTTATATTTTTATATTGTCTTCTAATTTTTAAATTTTTTTCCCTAATAAAGAACTGTTATTCCTACTCCCATATCTTTGCCCGAGAGACCCTTAATTTCAAAATTATAACAATTTGAGGGGGGGGTTTTATATTTTCCATTTCAGGGGAGGCTCCTGCCTTCCTTAGCAGACACCTGGCTTTCCAAACCAAGACAACGACCAACCCCGATATTCTGATGGATCAAACTATTCCAGCTGTGGTCACCCACTGGACAATCCTTGGAATGTGAGGGATGGCTAAAATGAAGCAGTTAAAACCAAATCCCAGTGCCTGCTAAAAATATTTTCATTTTTCCCTTTTATAAACTAAGAACAACCTGGTGCTTGCAGAAATGGGTCACATTTAATGAACCAGTGACAAACGAGGCTGCTCAATCCATTGGGTGGGCCACAGTTTTGGATTTTCCATCCCGGAAATCATCAAGAAATCACATGAAAAATGCATTCCATCCCAAAGATTGGCTGTTGGATGAGCAAGGAGTGGACAAGGATAACTCCAGCATGGCTGACATTCCAAAAATAACGAGTGTCTGGTGCATTATCAGCAGGAAAATCAGGAAAAAGGGGGAATTCTTGTGAAGGTAAATGAGATTATCAACCCACACCACTCGTGCTGCTGAAGCTGCCCCTGTTGCAGCATGGAAATGAAACTTGGGAATTCTTTGGAATAAGGCAATCAAAGGGAGTTCATTTCCCTGAATAAAAGGAAATCCCATTGGAGCCTCTCCATTCTTCCTCGTGCATGGGGGATGGCAAAAAATTCCAGGATTTCGTGAAAATCAACTTTTATCGTGAGATTGGAGAGCTCTGCCTGCGTCCAAGTCACCCAAGGAGTCCCTGGCTGCATCTCTGCAAGGCATGGATGGATCCCAAATCTCCTGGTTCCCCCCAAGGGATTCCCAGTGCAGATCCAGAATCTGGGCATCCTCACCTCTCCCAGCTCTTTTCCCCTTGGATCCCATCCCAGGTGTGGTGGCCCTCTGGACACACTTTGCCAGGCCTGGCTGAGTGAGAGGAGAAATCTCACGGGTTTGGGAGCAGGGACAAACCCAGGGATTTTTTTGGGGTTAAAAGTGCTGGATAAGCCTTGTGAGAATTCCCAGTGAAGTGCAGCCAGGGGGGGTTTGCAGGCTCTGAATTTCCCATTCTTTGGGAAATGTTTTCCTACAAGTTCTGGAGATGCTGGAGCCCAACCACAAACCCCAGTCCTGCTCCTGGGACCAGCTGAATTTCACAATTCCCAGTCAAATTATTCCAGCAGGGAGCAACTCCGTATTGAACATCACAGAAAGTGATTTGGGACAAGCAGGAAAATCAGCTCTGACTCAGAGAGTTCTTTTAATTCCTCCTTTCTCCTCCCTGTCCAGAGAGATTCCTGGATTTGGGATCACAGCCGAACATCCTCGAGCAAATCTCAGCAGTAGCTGCAATATTTAAACTTTTAAGAACAAAAATTAAAAAAAAAACCAAAACACCTCAGGTGGAAATAATTTGGGCTCTTACCCCACAGAGATTTGTGCACCTGCTTAATTTCAGACTGGGAATTATTTTCCCCAACTCCAAGTGATTTCTTTTTTTTTTTTTTTTTGGTGAGGTTTCCTGCTCTGCAGTGCCAACGGCTGAATTTCCAAGGAATGCTGTCAGTGGTGTGCTAACAACCTGCTAACAGCATCCCTCCCAAGGGCTGTTCCAGCCAGGTAACGATTCCAGCCTCCAGGATCCAAGAACATCTGGCTGTGCTGGGAGCATCTTGGAATTCGCCATGGGAAGGCTGCAAACAGGGAGAGAAAAGCCCAGCCCTTGAACCTGTTCTTGATGTTCAACACCAAAAGGGAACGTGGCACTTTCCCCACCATTTCCACGCGAGGAATTCCAGGTTTTCCTCCCAAACCTGCCCTGGATGGAGCTTTACAGGTGAGGAAAACACTCACAGAGGTCAAAAAGTTCTGGAGTGTGGCCACATTTGTGCTGTGGGGTGGTTGGGTGGAGGAGGAAGAAAGGAAAATGGGGGGAAAATCCCTGGGAAGGGACCAGAGCTCTGGGTTGGGATGGGCACAGCCCAGATGTGGCCCAGATGTTGCTTGGAGGGCACAGAGAAAGAGGGGAAAAGGGGAAAAAGGAGGGGCTGAAGGTAGAAAAAAGCCCAAATGCAGGTGGAGGTTGAAGGTGGTGAGCTGGAGGTTGAAGGTGGTGAGCTGGAGGTGGTGCTGGGAGTGCAGCCTCTGGAGATGTCCCCAAATTCTCCTTGGAACTGAAAAGCAGAGAGAAAGGAGCATCAGGAGGACTCGGAGAAGCCACCTGAGGGTCCCTTCAGACGGGAGACCAAGCAGTGAAGGAGATGGGAGGCAGCCAGAGGCAGGGAGAGTGCCTGGAATGGCACAGGAGAGTCCCTTGAGGGGACACGGGATTTGAGCACAACCACCCCAGTGTCACCCTCAGCACCCTGTGGGCACTGCTGGGTGCCAGCCTGAGCTCGGGGGGCATGGGGGAGGCACAGAGAAGGGCTGCACCCATCCCTTCTCCCATTCCCACGTCCTCACCAGGCTGGGAATAGGGAACAGCCCCAGCTGGGAGGGAATTCAGCTCCCTGCTGGAATTCCAGTGATGGATTGGATTGGATTGGATTGGATTGGATTGGATTGGATTGGATTGGACTGGATGCCCCAAGCCCTTTGTGGGTGGAAGCACAGCAGAGCAAAGTGCTGGATCATCTCATGGAAGTGATGGAAAGGCTCAGCCCCTGTCAGGAGAGCTCTGGAAGAATCCCAGCCTTGTTAGCAGTGTCCTGTGGGGTCACACGAACCCTGACAGTGCAATTGTCCCTTCCAGAGCACGGTCACAGTGCTGGCCTGGAGCACGGATCCTTTTGGTGCAGGCAGAGGGAGCTGCATCGGTTCCCAAGGTGCCCACGGGTTTGGGGCAATCCTTGGAGAAATCAAGGAAAAAGGGCAGAGGACAGGGGCAGCCTTTTCCACAAAAATCCTTGGTTTGTTCTGAGGAATTGGAGAGAAGAGACTTTGGCCAGCACAAATCCCATGGGATCCCAAAACGTGGGGACCTCAGGGAGGCTGGGAAGGGGCTGGGAACCAGTCGGGGGTCTCAGGAATTTGAGATTCCTAAAGGGGGAATAACCCCATAAAAACCCAGCGGCATCGGCTGGATCAGACACGGAGAGCAGCTGGTTTGTCACCTCCCTGTGCCCTCTGTCACCCCAGGGTGGTGACCTGGGACACAAGCTGCAGCAAGCACAGGGGTTTTACAGGGGTTTTACCCGCGGGGGCCAGGGAAGCAGCGGGGCTGAGCCCGGGGGTGCCCCAGAACCGGGCAGAGAAGGAGCAGGGTGGGACGGGGGACAGCGAGGGACAGCGGGGGACAGCGGGGGACAGCGGGGGACAGCGGGCTCGGAGCTGCGAAGCGCAGCCCGGGACGGACCCCTCGGGCCGGGAGCGCAGCGCGGGCTCAGGGCGCCCCTCACCGTCCGCACTGCACCGCGCGGCACCGCGCATCCCGGGACAGAGCGGGACAGAGCGGGACAGAGCGGGACCGCCCGCGCATCCCGGGACAGAGCAGGACAGAGCGGGACAGAGCGGGACCGCCCGCGCATCCCGGGACAGAACGGGACAGAGCGGGACAGAGTGGGACCGCCCGCGCATCCCGGGACAGAGCGGGACAGAGCGGGACCGAGGCGCGCATCCCGGGACAGAGCGGGACAGAACGGGACAGAGCGGGACCACTCCACGCATCCCTGCTCCATGCGAGCCGCCCCGCTCCGCGCATCCCGGCTCACAGCGCTCCGCGCACCCCGGGAGGGAGCGGGCCAGGCCCCCACGCACCGGCTCCGTGCGGGTCCCAGCGCTCCGCGCATCCCGGAGCGGCGCGGTCACCCCGCGCATCCCGCCCGGGCAGCGCCCGCGGCCATGCGCGCCCGGCGGCGGCGGCGGAGCCGCGGGGCCACGGGGGGCGGCGGCGGCGGCGGCGGAGGAGGAGGAGGAGGAGGCGGAGGAAGGCGCTCAGCAGCAGCAGCGGCAGCAGCCACGCAGCTTTGACGTCGCCGGGCTGCGGCTGCCGGCCCCGCACGTATAGCACAACGTGACGGCCCCGCCGCCGCCACTCGCGCCCGCTCCCCCGCGCCCGCACGGCAGCGCACCCGCACGAAGCGCGGCCGCGGGAGCCCCGCGCCGCCCCCGCCATGGGCCCGGCCGCCGCCCCGCAGCCGCGCTGAGAGGAGGGGGAGCCGCTCCCGCAGCGCCGCAGCCGCAGCCGGAGCCGGAGCCGGAGCCGGAGCCTCCCCGCGGCCCCGCGCCCGCCCCCGCCCGCGCCGCCCCCGCCGCGCCCCGCGCTCCGCGCTCCGCTCCCTCCGCGGGCAGCCCCGCGCACCATGCGGGGGCCGCGGCGCCGCGGTGGCCTCTGATGGCCGCGGGGCGCAGGCGGCTGCGGCGGCCCCGCGCGGCGCTCGGCGGCCCCGGGAGGCGGCGGCGGCGGCGGCCGGAGCTCTGAGGGCGCCGCGGCCCGGAGCGGGTGCGGGGGCTGCCGCTGCCGGGGGCTCGCTCTGAGCGGGGCTCGCCCCGCGCCGCCCGCTGCGCAGCGGGAGGAGGAGGAGGAGGAGGAGGCGGAGGCGGAGGAGGAAGGAGGAGGAGGAGGAGGAGGAGGAGGAGGAGGAGGACCGGCGCGGTGCCCGCCGCCTGCCCCCGCCGCCCTGCCTGCGCGGGCGTGCGCGGCTCGGCCGCAGCGGAGCGCGGGGCTCCGGCGGGCGCTGCGCTGCCCCCCCCCGCCCCGCCGGGCTGGATATGTGGATGCTCACGTGAAGATGGATGTAGCGATCGGGCTGCTGGGGCTGCTGACGGTTCTGCTGGAGGGCAGCTCCGGCCAAGGGGTGTACGGTGAGTCCGGGGCGCCGCGTGACCTTGTCGCGACTGTCGCCGGGGCGGAAGGGCGGGGGGGCCGGGGGGGGGATGGGGGGGTGGGGGCGAGCGGCGTGGCCCCGCTGCGCGCCGCGGGAGCCGGCGGAGGCAGAGCGGAGGCAGCGCCGTTGCCATGAGACGCTGACATTTCACGGCGATAACCGGGCCGGGGGGCGGAGGGCGGGGGGCGATTCGGGGGGGGGTCCGCAGCCGGTCCCGGGCCGCGCTGGCCGCCGCTGGGCGCCGCCTCCGCGGGGCTCCTCCGCGCCCGCGGAGCGCCCGCGGCCGCCGCACTTGTTACCGGCGGCGCTGCCGCCCGCGGCCGCGGAGCCAGGGGCGGGGGCGAAGGCGCCGCAAACTTCCCGGGGCTCCGCCGGGGGCGCGCGGACCCCGCGGGCGGGCGGCTCCGCTGCCCCGGCCCCGCTGCCCCCCGCCCGTGACTTGCACATCACCGGCGGCATCGCCCCCTCCGCTCCCCCTCCGCGCTGGGGCCGCGCTCTTGTTGCTTCCCCCTCGCCCCCGCGCCCTCGAGGTGGCCCCGGTTCGGCGCTGCTCGGAGCCGAGAGGCGGGGGGAACCGGGCGCTCCGCCGGGGCTGCGGCCGGGATGCTGCCCCGTGCCCCGGTGCCGGAGCTGCCGCGGCCGCGGTGGTGCCTCGGTGCCGGTGATGCTCCGGTTCTGTCGATGCCCTGGCCGCGGTGTGGCCGGTCCCGGTGATGCCCGGGCCGTGGTGATGCTTCGGTGCCAGCGGTGCCCCGGTTCCGGTGATGTCCCAACCCCAGTGATGCCCCGGTTGTGCCGATGCCCCGGTTGTGCCGATGCTCCGTTCCCGGTGATGCCCCATTGCCGGTGCTGCCCCATTCCCAGCGTTGCCCCGTTCCCGGTGCTGCCCCATTCCCGGTGATGCCCCGGTTCTGGTGCTGCCCCGTTCCCGGCGATGCCCTGTACCCGATGCTGCCCCATTCCCGGTGCTCCCCTATTCCCGGTGCTCCCCCATTCCCGTTGCTGCCCCGGTTCTGGCGATGCCCCATTCCCGATACTCCCCGAATCCCGGTGCTCCCCATTCCCGGTGCTCCCCCATTCCCGGTTCTCCCTGCTCCCGGTGCTGCCCCATTCCCGGTGCTCCCTGCTCCCGGTGCTGCCCCATTCCCGGTGCTGCCCCATTCCCGATACTCCCCCATTCCCGGTGCTGCCCCATTCCCGATACTCCCCCATTCCCGGCGCTCCCCGTTCCCGGTGCTCCCCGCTCCCGGTGCTCCCGGTTCCCGGTGCTGCCCGGCCGGGCGGGGGGGTTATGTAAGCGGCTCGGCGCCGTGCGGTGCCGCCGGCAGCTCCGGCACCCGGGGCTGAGGAAGGAGATCCATGAATCTCCCAGCAAATGCTCGGTGTGACATTGCCTCCTCCGAGCCCGTCCGCTCCCACACTTCCACATTCGCTTCCCACCTGGAACGGAGCCTCACTTAGAGCCTCGCTTAGAGCCTCGCTTAGAGACTCACCCCCTTTTTTTTTTTTGGTTTCTTTTTTTTGTTTTCTCCTTAATTTGGGAAAATCTGGACGTGACCGCGGGTGTCAGAGGGGCTGGGCTGGCGGAGGAGGCTCGGCTGGTGCGGAGCTGGCAGCGGCTCCCTGCCTCCCCCGGCACACAGGCACATATTGTTGGATGCTCGGGAAGAGCAGCGAACAGGAGAGGGCTTGTTCAGGAAGAGCGAGGTGGGGGCTGGAGGGAGGAGATGCGGACTCAGCTCCGGGCTCTGGGGTTTGGAGTAAAGACTTTGCTGCTGCTGCTGCTGCTGCTGCCGCTGCTGCTGCTTTTCCCTGCCTGATTTAGGCTGGGAGCGGGGGGAGCGCTGTGAACTCAGCCGTGCTCTGTGCTCCGGAGCGGTGCCCCGGGAATTTTGGGTGCCTTCATCGACTGCTGAAGGGGTCGGCTCGGGAATGTGGACAAAAAAAAGAAAATTAAAAATTGCAAGCCCGGGGTGTGCCTGCAGCCCCCGGTGCAGCAGCAGGGCCATTTTGGGGAAGGAGGATGGGAAGGCTGGAGCCTGCAGATTATCCAAAGTGAGCCCCAGCCTGCGAGAGGGAGCCTGCTTGGATCTCGCTGCTTTGGAAAATCGGTTTGTGGGATTTTAACAAGTTTTTTGGCCTTTTTTTTTTTTTTTTGAAGATTTCCAGAGCCTGGCAGCTCTGCTGGCGAGCGTGGTGCTGCTGCCGGGGAGGTGTCTTTGCCATGTTAACACTTGTTCCTGGTTCCTGTGCTCCTCTGGGAGCGGGCACAGCTCCAGAGCCTCTCCGTGAGGAAGGTGGCGAGGGGAAGGAAGGAGCAGCCTGGAATCCATCCCTGCTGCTCCCTGTTGATATTCCCAGCCCTGCAGGTGGCTCAGACCCATCCCTCAGGCTCCTCCCTGGCTCATCCCACCTGTCCTTGGCACGGCTCTCCCAGGCTGTTTCCCAGCCCTGGATGCTCCCGGAGGTGCGGGAAGGTGCCGGCGCAGAGCCTGGCACACGGCACCGCCCGTGCCCGCCCGGGGAGCAGCTCCGGCCGCCTTGAAATGCAAAATAAATCCTCAGTTTGTGGGTTGTGAGCTCCCTTAAACTCCAGGTTAACCGTGCCGTGCTGGGCAGCACCTCTGCAACTTCCCTCTGCTCTGTCGGAATGCTACAGATGGGATGGAAAACTGGGACTCCAAAGGGAGACCAGCACGGAACTGGGAGAACTGGGAGCACTGGGAGCACTGGGAGCAGGGCAGGCCCAGCCCATGTTCTGCTTCCTCAGGGGATGGGGGAGAGCAGAGCTGCTGGAATCCTTGGGAATTCGTGCTGTTCCTCAGCTCTCCCTGATTTCCTGGCCAAAGATCGAGAACAACTCGAGATCTGTGCACGTTTCCTCCCCTTTCAGCGGTGCATGACTTGCACTGTTAACAAAGCAGGAAATGTAGGGATTCAGGACATGGTGGGTCTCCTTTCACCCAACTCCCAATTTCCAGAGGGGAAAAAATGTCTCGGTGCAGAGGCCAAGGTGGGCATGGGGAGTTTTTAACAGCTCAGAGGCTGCTCGGCAAAAAATGGGAATTTTGGGAGAGTGGAGAAGGGATTTTTGGGTTTGTTCCTGAGCTTCCTCAGCTGGGGGGGGGGGGGGGGCTCACCAGGGACTTGGGGTCCCAATTTATGCCCTGTGGAGTGAGGAAGAGCCCAGAGAATTCCTGGATGGGAGCCTGGAGAGCCTGAGCACTACCAGCACCTCTGGGCTGGGGGCTGGAAAAACCCTGGGAATGGGGCTGGAGTGAGGCCCTGCTGGGGTGACAATCCTGGCAGCGCCGGCTCCGGGGGCAAAGCCAACTCCTGCTGGTCCAGGGGAGTTGATTCCAAGTGGGGACAGGAATCTGGGAGCAGCTGTGGGATCCCCGGGGTGGGATCGGGGTCACACAGGGGGTGCAGCCCCCTCTGAGATCCTGGCTCACTGGGATGGGGTTTATCCAATCCTTTGATGAGGTTTTAGGAATTTTCCCACGATTTCAGCCGGAATCGAGCAGGGCAGACCCTCAGGATGTTTCCTGGGAACACCAGGTGTGACACAGGAGGGGTGTGAGGGTGACAGGGACCCCTCTGTGCCACCCCAGCTCCTGCAGGGAACAGGGCTCAGCATCCCCTCTGCAGCCATGGAAAACCTCAGGATGCCTTGGAATTCCTTCTGGAATCACTCATGGAAAGAGGAATGTCGGAGTCTTCCTGAGGCTCTGCACCAAATCCGGGCCTGCAAAATTTTGGGAGAAGCACCCACAGCCTTGGGAACAACGAGGCTTCCAGGTGTTTTCCCATTGGGAAAAATGAGATTTCCAGGAGTTTTCCCACTGGGAACAATGAGACTTCCAGGTGTTTTCCTACTGCTGGTTCAAAATGCCTGGAATTGAAGGCATTTAAGGTGTTAAATTCCAGGGAAATTGTCCTGGTTGATCCAAGCACCAAATGTCATCCAGCGGCCTCAACCCTCACTGCAGCTGCAGGTTTTCCAAAGAAAATTGGAATTGGGCATCCCGAAGACTGGAGCTGCCCCTTTTTTTTCCTGGATCCAGCTGGAGGGGGGCTGCTGGAGCTCCTTGGAGGAGGTTGGAGCAGGGGGCAGACGGTGTCGGGAAAGATCTGGGAAAGGTCTGGGAATGATCAGGGAAAGATCTGGGAATGATCAGGGAAAAATCAGGGAAAGATCAGGGAAAGATTTGGGAAAAAAATCTGGGAAAGACCTGGGAATGATCTGGGAAAGATCAGTGAAAGATCTGGGAATGATCAGGGAATGATCAGGGAAAGATCTGGGAAAAAATCTGGGAAAAATCAGGGAATGATCAGGGAAAGATCTCCCACTCCTGCCTCTTTGTGATGCTGGGATAACTCCCCGGAGCTCCGATCCTGGAGGGATTTAAGGAGCGCTGCCTTTGGAGCTGGGAGCGGCCTCTGACCTGGCCTTTCCCAACATTTTTACGGATCCAGAGAGTGGATTGGAGGGATCAGGGGAGGGATGGGAAAACAAAATCACTGGGAGGGAGAGCGTTTGGCTCATTAGAAGTGCCAGCTCCTTGTTGGGAAACCTCTGGATCAGAGGGCAGGGAAAAACCTCTGGATCAGCAGGGAGGGAAAAACCTCTGGATCAGCAGGGAGGGAAACCTCTGGATCAGGCAGGGAAACTTCTGGATCAGAGGGGAGGAAACCTCTGGATCAGAAGGGAGGGAATCCTCTGGATCAGCAGGCAGGGAAAAACCTCTGGATCAGCGGGCAGGGAAACCTCTGGATCGGCGGTCACAGCTGGAGGATATTCCATGGATTGTACTTCCAGGGGGGATATTCCCTGGGGGACATTTCCATGGTGCTGCCGGCCTCGCTGGGTGAATGCCGGCCTTGTCCGGGGCGCCTTAACCCCGCACAATTCCCGACTTTGTGCCAGGGAAGCGTCCCTGGGAACAGGGCAGGGATTATGCGCTGCCGCGGGGG